TCCTGTCCTGTCCACCACCATACCCTTGGTGTTGATATACCCTGATAAGATGCAAACCACTTAATGAATATTTTGAGACCCCCAAGTTACATTATATAGAATCACCATCTCAGGTTCCAGAACTAGTTTATTTTGCACACACACAAATCCCAAATTAGAAGTAGTAGTATCCCGCTATTAATTCCCTTGACTCTTTCCGGATTATGGCAATCTACGTAAGAATCATTTCCTAAAATAAAAGCATGTCTATCGAACTTGAAAAAGAAAAAACCCAGACACATTGAAAAACTCTGGGAGGGTTTTTTTTTTTTTTTTTCATTATAAGTAAGACAAGGTTCATGAGAGTAAGCATCAGCGCTTGATTCTTTAGAAGTTGAAAATTAGATCAAATGAATTGGAGGACAACTACATCTTGTGTTAATGTTTTCCTCCTCGAATGAAGAAAATGAGATGATGTGAGCCATGACTCCATTTGAAAATGAAACTTTGTATTTCTATTTGCTTCCTCGTTAAAGCACACTGTTTTTCATTTTAGACTTTCATGTTGGTAAATGTTGCAATACTTTACATTCATTAGACTCAGGCCCATTTACTATGTGCAAGCAAGACAAGCACAGATATATCATCCCATAAAGCATCATTTCTAAATTACACAGTAAATAAATGAGACTAAGCCAGAAACCCAAGTTTTGCAACCCCTACCACTGATGTAAAAAAAAAAAATGTTTTTACCACCTTGTGTAAAAAGTTCCTTACTCTTAAAAAGCTTGATTTATGAACAATCTGTTATATTCTTACTAGGCCAAATAAATTGATCATCCAAGAATACACTGGATGCTGACCCTAACTCATAACAGACAAAAATGCTTCAAAAAGAAAACTGGACTAATTAGATTCTGCCTGTCTTTGCAAAGTGTGATGCATAAGAAACCTGGTCTTACTAGGAACCTTGTGCTGATTTTTGATTAGCTTATTACAGAAGTCAGCAGTAAAGCCAAAATAAAGTCGTGATTCACAATGAGATGACAATGAGCAAGTGTCTTTAAATTTATAATTGCCCTTGGATCTATTTAATTTAGCTTGAAGTCATGAAACATAATTAAGATAAATGGTTACACTAAGCAGGTATCAGATATGACAAGAAGCTGGCTGTGATTATTTTGCTGTAATATTTCCATTTGGGGACTTTTTCTGCCAACACATTTCCTATGATGGCTATTAAATTTTATAGGATTTTTTCCAGCATTAGTTGTAATGGCATTTGCATGTTAAATGCTCACGACAAATGAAAACCATGATTGCATTGTTTTGCACGGTGAAAACCATGGTTACTGCTATTCTGAATGGATAAAAAAAATGTAAAAAGAATCAAGTAATTCTTCCTCATCGTATGATACCTACATAAGCTCTGCGGGAAAGCCTATTTACCCTGCAACTCTTCTATTTTTGAATCAACATAGATTTTGCACATGTAAGAAAACTGCACAGGCCACAGTAAGTCAATCAGAAGACAGCTCAAATGTTATTTTTGTTGAAGGAAATTTGTCCCTTCAATAAAAGGGGACAGAAGGAAGAGAAAAGCTCAATTACTACTTATAGGTGTTTTTTATAATGTCATCTACAGCAACACCAAATTAGAGAAACAACACAGAGAGCAGACATTAAAAGAATTTCTTAGTCAATTTTCTTCTCTGAGCAGATTCAGCAACTAGTTCTCAAAATTTTCTGATTATTGACCTTAGTCTCTTGTTACTGTTTATTGGAAATTTCTGGATTTATTGTTCTGGTTATTATTCTGAATTAGTATTTTATGAGTAAATAATTAGTGTCATCTAGATCTGATAAAGCAAGAAACAATAAACTATGCCTCTATATAAGTATTAAAACATACAGCCACTAGATAGATCATTATAGAGTCTTCTAATTTGATTCATTCAGCTTGCTCATCATTTCTCTGTACCAATCAGTTTTGAAGGCACTTTCACCTAGAATAGCTTTTAAATTGTATGACTATCACATTTTATCCACCAGATCCCTTCTTCAAAGTTCAGTTGGAGGTTTCAGTTCAAGAGGGTAACATGGAAAGAGCCTAAACTCACGTCCTACCACAGACACAATGAATCTACACATACACATAGAGCAATTTCTTCCCTTAAAAAAAAAAAAAAAAAAAAAACCTAATGCTAGAAAAAGTCTACACACAATCTCAACATAATGTTCACTCCTACCACGACAACACATAATTGAGAGGGAACTCAAAATATGGAGCTTCTGCCTGAGGAATGAAGGATTCAAACTCCACATCAGACACCCAAAATTTTAACACCTGTACCTGAGTGATGAGTTCCCAAAACATCTAGCTTTGAAAAGCAATGGGGGGCCTCCCCGGTGGCGCAGCGGTTGAACGCTGGCTTGCAAAACTGCCAGCAGCCTCTGCAGCGCCGGTTCGATCCCCGACCAGGTTCGATCCCCGACCAGCGGGCGAGGGTCCCACATGGTGCACAGACCCCTCCTGCCGCCCGCTGCTCCCCTCAGCAGTGTACCTCGTCACTCTGCCTGTTCTGCTCTCCGCTCTGGTGAATTCTCTCACCCTCCCGCACCTCTGACTGTACCCAGTGCTTGTATAAAATAAAATAAATAAATCTTTTTAAAAAAAGACAATATCTCTATTAAAAAAAAGAAAAGCAATGGGGTTCATGTCCACAAGACCCACAAGATGGTAGCAAAAGAGAAGTCACTCTTAAGCAGACATTCTCACCCCAGGGCCTAGCATGGAAGCTGCTATTTGAAAAGCCTGCAGACTTCATGTGAAAATTCAATTGCTAATATGAATGCACCAACCAAATGGGTCAGGGGCCTGCTAGGCTAATGTCCCTCTTTATTTATTTTTTTTTTTAGTTTATAATTGAAGTTTTTTTAATATTTTATTTTATATAATTCTTACATCATTTTTCATTTTTGCACAATGTATGCATTTTCATTTTGGTTATATTCCCCATACAATTCCCACCCCCCCCCTTATTTTGGCCCTAGTCCCTCCTTTCCTCCCCCTCTCCCCCTGTAGTGTGTCTCTGGTTTATAGCTACTTGTTGATTCTTATTTTTTCTTTATTATAATTAGTCTTCTTCCTGGTTCCTTATTTAGGTTTTTTAACTCTACTTTGGCTAGTCCTCTTCCTTGCTAAAGCCTGTGAGCATCATTTTTCTTTCCCTTAGATTTTTTTTCTTGATCATCTCAATAGATACAGGAAAAACATTTGACAAAATTCAGCATCTATTTATGATTAAAACTCTCTCAAAGTGGGTATGGAAAGAATGTACCTTAACATAATAAAAGTCATATAAATAAGCCCACAGTTAGCATCAAACTCAATGGTGAAAAGCTGAAATAATTTTCTCTAAGATCAGAAACTGTCATTCTTTGCAGATGACATGACATTATACATACAAAACACTATAGCACCAAAAAACACAATAGGACAAATGAATTCAGTAAGTTACAGGATACAAAATCAATATCCAAAAATCTTTTACATATACACTATAATAAACTGTCAAAAAGAAAAATTTAGAGTTCTCCCCTGGTGGCGCAGCGGTTGAGTGCTGGGCGGTGAAGCTGCCCGCAGCCTCCGCAGCGCCAGTTCCATCCCCGGCCGCCGACGAGGGTCTCACATGGCGCGCAGACCTCTCCTGCCACTGGCTGCTCCCTTCAACAGTGTATTTCGTCAGTCTGCCTGTTCTGTTCCCTACTCTGGCTCTGGTGAATTCGCTCACCCTCCCATGCTTCTAACTGTACCCAGTGCTTGTATAAATAAATAAATAAATCTTTAAAAAAATAAAATAAAATATCAGTAGAACATCTAGATATTTTTCCAAAGAAGGCACAGATATGGCAAGTGGGTACTATTATCAAAAAAACACAAAATAGTGTTTGTGAAGATGTGGAAAAAAGGAAAACCTCATGTGCTATTGGTGGAAATAGACATTGGTACAACCATTATGTGCAATCAAATGGTAGTTCCTCAAAAAAAATAAATAAATAAAGATAGAACTACCATATGAGCCAGCAATTCCATTTATGGGTATTCAAAGTAAATGAAAACACTAATTGTTCACTACAGCATTATTTTCATTAGCCAAGATATGGAAACAACTATATTATCCATACATGGCTGAGTTGATTGAAAAAAATTGTGACAAATGATAGATAGATAGGTAGATAGAGAGATAGATAGGCACATACACAATGGGATATTATTCGAACAAGAAAAATTATGAAATCCCTCCATTTGTGATAACATAGATGGACCTTGAAGACATAACGCTGAGTGAAGTAAGTCAGACAGAGAAAGGCAAATACCATATGTGAAATCTTTAGGTAGAAAAAAAAGAGCACATAGATACAGAGAACATATCACCAGATTGGTTGCTGTCAGAGGCAGTGGTTTGGGAATTAGTTAAAAGGGAGGTCAAAAGCTACTAAGTACCAGATAAGAAATAAATCATGGCAATGTATGTTATGTGTCGCATAGTGACTATAGCTTATAATACTACATTGCAAAACTGAAATTTGCTAAGAGATTAAATCTTGAAAGCTTTCATCACAAGAAAAAAATATTTTGTATGATGATGGAGGTTACTAGACCTATTGTGGTGGTCATGTTGCAATATATACAAATGTTGAATTATGTTGTCTTCTAAAACTAACAATAAAAAAATAAATAATAAAAATTCAGTACTGTGAATCTTTCAGAAATGAAAGGTCTTCAGGAGATTAGATATCCAATAGATAAATCTCTGAATTTAACCTCTGATATATATTTTAAGCTGTTTCTTATGTTCTTCCTAAATATACTTAGTCCAAAAATTTCTGACTCATAAAGGGTCCATGTAATAGTAAAAATTAGTTTGAAATTCTGAGTAATTTTTTATTAAAAGAACTTCCTCAGAAATTGCTCAAGTACATATTTGAGAATTGTTAACGTAAAAGTCATTTCATCCTCATTTTCTTCCCTACTTCTCATCTGCCCTTTCATCCATTCGGTATTCTACCAGAGCAGAATTAGAGGACCAGTGGTAGCATTTGGTGAAGGAATCAGAAGATGAAATTCATGAAATTCAATCAGAAGATGAAATTCATTCAATATTTTTATTTGTCCATTTAATTACCTGAATACACCTCTTACGGCACAAAAGAAAAGTTGAAATCTGGTGTAACACTATTGTTTTCCCAAATTGACCCAAACTAAGGAGACAAAATCCTAGAAATCTGGTGTTGTTTGGGATGATGAAAGAGACATCCACATTGTTGGCAACCCTTGGGCACAAACCAAGGCTGATTTAGTGTTATACATTACTTTTGACAATTGTTAGTTTCCCCTCTCTGACTACACATAAATACATGTATATACCACATGGAGCTTCTCAGCAATTCAGAAAAGCAAGGTGCAATGGGCTGTACGTTGGTGTGCAGCTAACTGTGCTACTTTTGGCAAATCACTTAACCTCTTGAGATTCAATCTCTGCACTTTTTAAGTCAAAGTTCTTGATTTTGTTGTTCTCTAAAAGAAACAGGTTAAACACCTGCAAAAGATAATTCACTTTATTCCAGCATAAAATCCATAGTCCCGAGATTTATTCCCCATGGTTTAGTCATTTCTAATGTCCTTCCTAAACGTTATTTCTTCCAAAATAATTTGAGAAGTGTGCCACAACTCAGTTTATGCAAGGTCAATGAACCTATATATTCTGCTTGTTAAAAGTTCTCTTTCCTTACATTGTATAAAGTCTCAGCCTAAAAGCCACTGCAACTGTTGTGTTCAACATTTTCAATATCTGAAAGAGAATGCTGAATCTTTTGTTCATGTGAAATTTCATACAACTCTGGGTTTATCTCAAAAAATGCTGTGAAAACACTGATACTGCAGGAAAAAGAAACAGCTTCACTGCTATTTTCATTTTATCTAATGAACACAGAGGAAAGGCTCAGATCGAAGAGAAAAGGTCATAAGCTAGAATTATAAGAGTACTATTTGTTACACACTTTAAATAGATACAGCTTGGTTAAGGACACTGGGCAGAAATGTTAAATCTATTTAAAACATTGAAATGTGTTACAGTCTTTCATACAATGAGCAGTGATGTGTCATGGGGTTTCACATATTAACACAGTAAGTTACATAGGTCAAGATACACAGAGTTGCATGCTTCCTAGCCAAGGCAGGGCACAGAAAGTTATTGGTGTTCTATGACATTGACTGAATTGCTGCTAAGCCCCAAAAAGATTGTGCTGGCATCAACACTGTTCCCAGGTATCAGATCCCCAGATACTGGTTCATTTTGTTCAAGGCATCACACACTGTGTTCAAATCACTGCGGAGGTCCTGCACCACGTTTTCAATACTCCTGGTGTCTTTCAGAATTTCAATACTCTGAGTGTAGGGATTGAAGTATACTGAGAAGGGACGAGTAATTGACTTTGCAAAGTCCCTGCAAAATAAACAGAAATGGAAGGAGATGCCATCAACTCCCTCTGGCAAGAGAAAGAGAAAGAGAGAGAGGGGGAGGGAGAGAGAGAGAGAGAGAGAGAGAGAGAGAGAGAGAGAGAGAGAGAGAGAGAGAGAGAGGAGAAACAGAGGCAGAACAATAAAAAAGTTATTTTCTCTAGAGGAAAGAGCAAGTTTACCTCATCTTTTCTTTAGCTTCTTCAAAACTTTCTGAAACAAAGTAGGCTTCCTGGAAGGTAGTGATAAGGCATTCCTGTAAGCAAGTTGTCTTTGGGTCAAAGGCTTTCACACATGCCTTGTCAGAAAGAGCGTGCTGCAAAACACACCGCAAAGCCGTTAAACTCCGTCGTGCACAGGCCAGAGCGCTATGACGTCATGTTCCGACAGCACATCAATAATTCACCAGGACTACTCAGTTTCTGGTCTGCCATGAAGTACAAAACTGTCCCAATATGCAGGGTAAATGGAGTGTTAGGTTTTAGGTTTTCTTTCTTTCTTTTTTAGTCCATTAGGTAATGAGGCAGAAATGAGATTATGTCATTATTTTATTTATTATCAGCCAGATTCGTACTGAAGGACAGTTCAGAGCTGTGTCCCAACAGAAATGGAATTTTAAATTTATACTATGAATAGAAGCAGGGAGTGCATAAATATGGCCCTAAATTTATTGCTATAAGCAAAGTACTGAAATTTCATTTAAATGGCAGAAGTAATAATTACCTGCGTGGAGAGGTAATTGGGACTCTGACTGAACTATTTGTGGACTCATTGCTAGACATTTTGAGGCCAAGTACCGTGGCTCAACAGAGTCTGGAGTGGGCCTGTGTATTTGAGGTTACTTGCAAAGTATTCATTTACCTTCCACTTTCATGGCAGAGCAATATACAGCAGATAAATATTGCCAGGTAGGGGGAAAAAGAGCTAATATTAATAGCTATAGTTATGCCCAGACCAGTCATTAGAAAAATGAATGAAATTACTCTTTGCACCATTATTATCTCTGTTCAGCTCACTCCATGACTAGCACTAAGAGAAGCAAGAAACAATGAATGGTTGTATTGATGGTTGAATTTATCAATGAATGATAAATTCATTCAAATGATGTTAAGGAGGACTCCCTGGTGGTGCAGTGGTTAAGTCTCAGTGCTGTCACACTATCACCATTACAGCCTGAGTTTGATCCCCGGCCAGGGAGCTATCCTACATGGCACAGCAGACCTCTCCTGTCTCACCCACTGCTCCCCTCAGCAGTGTATTTCAGTAGATCCACCTGTTCTGCTCCCCACTGCATCTCTGGTGAATCCTTTCACCCCGCGAACCTTGGCCTCACCCTAGATCCTCTACACAAAAATAAAATTAAAAAAAAATGTTTAATTAAAAAAATGATGTTAAAAAGTTAGTGGTCACTCCCTGTCACATGCCACTTGCCCATTTATGCACCCTGGACTCTCAAGCATAAAGCACAGAAGGATCACTAAGGATCTTCTGGAAAATGCAGATACCCAGGCCTCAATTTTAATTGGGAGGTCGAGGTGAATCCCAGATATGCACTTTAAAGGCATCCAAAGTGATTCAGACATAACTGGCTGTGACTATATTTTGAGAAATACTCCTCTAGATTCTGTCTTTTTCTTTAAAGGGGTTCTATCCTTAATTTAAGGGTAAGTTTGCTGGAAGAGAAAGGCAGAGAAGAAAAATGACAGCAGAAACTACCTTAAACTGGGATCTAGGAGACTTGGGCTCCAGTCTGACCAGGACAAACTGGCATATTATTTCACTTCTCTGTGCCTCCACTTTCTCAACTGTAAATGAGAAGGTGGGGTTTGGTGATTTCTTAAGACACTCTATTCCAGCCTCTGGATGCTACCTAAAACACTTTTCTACTTTCTCAGTCTCTAACAGCTAAGTTTCCTGGAGAAATGCTGAAAAATCGTTCCTGTTCAATATTCTTGGTGCCTTTCCCCAGCAATTTCAAAATGCAGGGAATGATTTGCAGTCTTCCATGAAGAAGGTTGCAGTTCTCTACATTTGAAAATACAAATGCAAACCAATGGCCGATGCGCAAGAGAAAGGGCATATGGGCCCTACCCTGAGGGTGATTTGCTTTCCCACAAAGTTGCGTTGTCCAGATCAATGCATATATGAATCAGGAATGCAGAGGGCCTCTGAGAGTGAACTCATTTTTTTGGCCCACAGAACAACTTCATTATAAGCAGAAGGTCACTACACCTGCAAATGCATTTGTGCTGCATTCAATACACTGCAGTGAACATCAGGGGATTTTGGTTCCACATGACTAATAATTCTGTCCACATTTTAAAAACAACTTCACAGTTTCAAGAAACAAAATGTCCTTTTATGAGAGCTGTTGCCCCTCTGCAAAGAACAGGCCTGCTATTATCTAGCTGTGGTTTTCAGAATTAGAAGTTGCTTTCTTTGCAGCCATATACTATGTGTACATTTCATCCATCTACCAATACATATGAAAGAAAGGACATTACTTAGTGACTAACTCAGAGTCCTTGATCTATTTTCTCATTATTACATTCAGGATCACAGCATAATGGTAGCAAAAGAGGCTATAAGAACTTTAAGCCTTGGAGCATTCCTGCTGAGTCAAATACTTTTCACTGGGTCAAGGACAAGCACAAGTGGGAATGAAATTCATAAGCTTGGATCTGCAATGCTGTTATAGCACATGAGCAACCTTAGTAGTCACTTTGTGTACAGGAAACCTGCAAATATGTGTATGCAATGCCAGAGACTTTGATCAGTATAGTTTTAGAAAAATCCAATGTGTGACCATTCTATTGAATAATCAAGTGAGTAATTTAGTCACTTTGAATGGTAAAGGGGATGAGAATAGACCAAGGAAAAGCCCAGAGGGCAAAGTCTTATGCTCCAGACTTCAAGAAAAGTCAGAGCAGTCACAACACATAGTTTGAGGCAAAGACCATTAGGCAGTACACATCACACTTGTCTGATATACTATTTAAAGAAAAAAAAGAAGCTGATGTTGAGGGTAGGGAGAAAAAGGGACCTTCTTATACACTGTTGGTGGGGAAATAGACTGTTCAGGCTCTCTAGAAAGCAGTACGGAGGTTTCTCAAAAGAATAAAAATGGATCTGCTATATGACTCAGAAATTCTGCTCCTAGGTATCTACCCAAAGAATACAAAAACAGTAAATCAAAAGAAAACTTGTATTCCCATGTTTATTTACAATAGCCAAGATATGAAAACAACCCAAGAGCCCAAAAACAGATGAGTGGATCAAAAATAGGTGGTATGCTAGAGCCTAAACTACCTATATACACAAGGAGAGCTAGAATACTATTCAATGATCAAAAAAAGAAAAACTCATTCTATTGGCAGCAACATGGATGGAGCTGGAAGGGATAATACTAAGTGAAATAAGTCAGAAGGAAAAAGATAAATACTGGATGTTGTCACTTACATGTGGAATATAGAGAAACCAAACAGGATTTTAAAGACAAACTTTAAAGTCAACCTTGAAAGCGGGCCACAGAACTGACGCATCCAAAAGGGGAGGGGAGGGATAGGAGGGAGGGTTAAGAACAGCATAGGGAGAGAGAACATGGACTGTGGTAGAGGTGTTTCAGTGGTTGGTGTGCTATGGTGACTACATCTGAGGGAAAAATCCTATACTTCCCATACTTACAAGGATGTAAACCAATGGCCCTTCAATTAGGAAAAAAATAAAGTTTAGAACACTCTCAACAATGTAGTCTATCCTTAGGAGCCTGCTGTGTCTGCTAGGAGTTCTACATCCATGGAAAATGGTACCAGTGCTATTCCTTAGCTATTATGAATATGGGGATAAGATGCCCAAAGTTTAGCCCAGAGAATGACAGGATCCTGAAGTTGAGGGAGCAGTCAGTGAGTGAGACCAACAAATGCAATGATGATCACACCTATAAACAGTCTCAGCTACCAAATGGGGGGCTCTCCTGTGTGATAACTGCAAGCAACGGCCATGTAGCCATGAAGTCCCCTATTCCTGAATACTAGACCACGGGCAAATGATTATAAAATAACATAAATGGGGCCTCCCCAGGTGGTGCAGCAGTTGAGCTCTGGGTTGCAAAGCTGCCTGCAGCCTCTGTAGTGCCAGTTCGATCCCCGGCCACTGGCGAGGGTCCCACATGGCGCACAGACCTCTCCTGCCATGCTCGCTGCTCCCCTCAGCAGTGTACTTTGTCTGTCTGCCTGTTCTGTTCCCCACTATGGCTCTGGTGAATTCTCTCACCCTCTCACGCTTCTGACTGTACCCAGTGCTTGTATAAATAAATAAATAAATAAATAAATAAATAAAATCTTTTATAAAATAAAATAAAATAACATAACATAAATGTCTGTTGATTTCAAAGTCTTTGCCTAACAGAATGAAGTCCTGCTGAGTTTGCAACTCAAGTCCTATTCATGCCTCTTTCTTGGTTTTGGAGACCAGTTACCATGCACTGTTGTCCAGGGTGGATTCTCCTCTATGTCCAGAGTGGATTCGCTGTAAACACTGAGTCAAACTCTGTGATTCTCAGGCAACTCTATGGCCAATCCTTCCTGAAGTATTAACATTCTGAAGTGTCCTTAGGTCTGCAAGAATCTGGCTAACAGTCTTTTACTATCAAGCTATTTTTAAAATGTCGGAATACTTGAGAGTCATTTTCTCTCATCTAAACACTCTCTAAAAGGACAATTTTTGGTTTGTCCATGGTGCTAACAAAATTACATAGCACTGGGAGCCAGGAGACCTGGATTCTAAATGTAGTTGTCCCATGGTATGATATCAAACAAGTGAAACTTTCCCACGGTGGGATGCAGTTTCTCCTTTGGTAAGCTGTAAAGACTGATCTACATGAATGTTAAATCTCTTCTTGCAATACAATTTTAATGGAAGCCTGAAAATATACAGCACTCATACCATCATCCCCTCCCCTCCCTTATTTTAAAAACTAAAATAAGACTTAATTGACCAGCGCACCCTACCCTTCTCAGCAGAGATGGTCATTACCAATTAATTAGCTTTCATGCATACCTTTAGACAATTGCTGTCTCAGACTTTTAAATATAAACATCTCTTCTCAACATCAAAATTTTCCCAGACCCCAATTGCTAGTAGGCAGATAGCTAAAAGGTAATTAGAGTACAACTTTTTTAATTAGGGAAACTGAGGTTCAAATCTGGCTCCATAACTCCCTAAAGTTCTTACGTGACTTTGGCAAGTTCCTCTCTCTCTCTAAATTTATCTCAGTACTCATCTGCAAAATGGAGATATTAATAGTATCTACAACCT